AAACTTGGATAGGGCTTGAGATTTGGAATCAGGAGAAAACTCAACCTCAGCAACCGCTACAGTAGTCCGAGTCTTAGAAATGTAGAAAGGATGAGCATGCCATTGAAATAATGTGAGTCCAGTGGATTTTTAAGTATGTGATTTGGAACCACAGAGACATTATTCTGACTCTAGATAAAAAAAAAGTCCATAAAGACCTTTGAATCTTCTGTATGTACGTATCGCAAACAACTAACACATAAAAACGTGTATTATGGACTCCACGAACTTCAACAAATTATTAAATCCAAAAGAAATATACCCTGATTAGTTCTAAAAAAAAAAACAAAAAACTAAAATTGCTTATTATTTCCCACACATTTGATTTTCATAAAAATACACACATTAAAAGCCATGGTAGTATTCATATAAGACAATGACCATAACTCACTGGACTGTATACAGCATCCATTCTCAACCAGGGTTCCGTGGAGCCCTAGGGTTCTTCCAGAGGTTGGTAGGGGTTCTTTGGGTTGGCTGATTAACCTCCCTGGGTTGGCTGATTTGATGGTGCCTGCATAGTTCCAAGGCCAATGCTACTTGGCAAAGCCAGCAGCAATGGTCTCTTTTAGCTCTGTGTAAGGATGGCATTCAGACCACCACTGTAAGGGTAGTGGTCTTCTTATTGTAGTGGGCGACCTGCAATGAATTGGTTTTAGCAAGGGTTTCCTAAGACCTCAAAATAATTTTAGGGGTTCCTCTGAGTGAAAAAGGTTGAGAAAGGCTGGTATACAGAGTACATGCTCCATGGAACATACTGTATTTGAATTTTTTTTTCTCTTGTACATGACAAGAGAATAAAAATAAATCCATCTTCCCTGTTAATAAATAGCCTTCTATTACCAATACATTGCAGACCGTTTGTTCTGTAGATAATTACTTATATCTGATTTTTAAAAATGAGTGCCAAATGGGAGGTTCTGTATAAACAAATGTCAAATGACATTTGTATGATAGGTTTACTATACTTTAAAATTCAAAGAGGTTCTCATGAAGGACATGTTGGGGATGCATATTTCATGCAAAGCAGAACATATATCATCCTTAGACTCTTGGTTGTATGAATGCATCCTAACTAGAGACAGTCAGCTGCTCTAATGCAGAAAGTTGAAATTTTAATTTTATTGGACAGTTATGTTTGAAAAAGATGGAAACATTGTCAAGCTCAACTCCAGGCAAAACCTTTTTTTTTTTTTGTGTTGACGAGGTCTGTTTTTTATTGGTCTGTTCCCACTGGGGAGATTCCCCCTTGCTTCCTGTCCTTATGATCTCCCCCTATGCAATGGAGAAGAGATGATGAGGTGTCCTGTAGTAAAAAACATTTTCTGTAATAGTTACAACACTGCTCCTAAATAGACATAATGGGGTTGATTTACTAAAGGCAAATAGACAGTTGCACTCTGCAAGCACATTTGCTTCACAACTTAGTAAAAGGGGGCAAGCTCTGCTGACTTCCATCCTCCAATCATGTGCAAGCAAAAATGCATATTTTTTTTTCTTGTATGTGATTGGGAATATGTTGCAAAGTGAAGCTTCACCTCATTTACTAACTCTGGAACAAATGTCCTTGCAGAGTGCATCCAATGTGTATGCTGCTGCTCCACACAGTCCCTTTCACCTCTTGTGACACCACTCATCCAGCCATGTGGAATAAATGCAATAGGATACAAAAGGCTGCACACTTGAACACTGCATCCACTATATTGACCACCTTTAAAATACCATATACAGCAACAGTAAATGTCTAGGGAGCAAGGAAACACAGTAAACGCGTTTCACAATACTAGCACTTACAGTTGTGTTCAAAATAATAGCAGTCAGACATCACTAACCTGATCAATCACTGTTTTTGGTAGAAATGATTTTTCTACATGGCAAATAATTTATTAGCAGGTGTAGTAGAGTAATAGAAATCCAACAGACCCAACAGTCATGACATGCATGCTGCTGATTCTGTGTAATTGAATCACTAATTGAAAGGGGCATGTTCAAAATAATAGCAGTGTGGAGTTCTATTAGTGAGGTCATTCATTCTTTGAAAAACAGGTGGCAGTTATTGCCCTTATTTAAGGAAGGAAGGCAGCAAATGTTGTACATGCTGGTTACAGTGCATTTCTCTCTGAAATTCTGAGGAAAATGGGTCGTTCCAGACATTGTTCAGAAGAACAGCGTACCTTGATTAAAAAGTTGATTGGAGAGGGGAAAAACATATAAAGAAGTGCAGAAAATGATAGGCTGCTCAGCTAAAATGATCTCAAATGTTTAAAAAATGGCAACCAAAACCTGAAAGACGTGGAAGAAAGCGAAAACTACCATTCGAATGGATAGAATAGCCAAAATGGCAAGGACTCAGCCAACTATCAGCTCCAGGAAGATCAAAAAAGGTCTAAAGTTCCCTGTGAGTACTGTTACAATTAGAAGACGCCTATGTGAAGCCAAGCTATCTGCAAGAAGCCCCCGCAAAGTCCCACTGTTGAAAAAAAGACATGCTGAAGAGGTTACAATTTGCCAAAGAGCACATTGACTGGCCTAAAGAGAAATGGTGCAACATTTTGTGCACTGATGAAATAAGATTGTTCTTTTTGGGTCAAGTGGGCGGAGACAGTTTGTCAGACGACCCCCAAACACTGAATTCAAGCCACAGTACACTGTGAAGACAGTGACGCATGGTTGCACAAGCATCATGATATGGGGATGTTTCTCATACTACGGTGTTGGGCCTATTTATCGCATACCAGGGATCATGGATCAGTTTGAATACATCAGAATACTTGAAGAGGTCATGCTGCCTTATGCTGAAGAGGAAATGCCCTTGGAATGGGTGTTCCAACAAGACGACGACCCCAAACACACCAGTAAACGTGCAACATCTTGGTTCCAGACCAACAAGATTGACGTTATGGAGTGGCCAGCCCAATCCCCGGATCTTAATTCAATAGAAAACTTGTGGGGGGACATCAAAAATGCAGTTTCTGAGGCAAAACCAAGAAATAGAGAAGAACTGTGGAATGTAGTCGAATCATCCTGAGCTGGAATACCTGTTCACAGGTGCCAGAAGTTGGTTGACTCCATGCAACACAGATGTACAGTTCTCAGAAACAGTGCTTATACAACTAAATATTCATTAAGTGATTCAAAGGAAAGCAAACTCTTCAAACATTTTTCAGTTTATATAGTGAATGTTTGAGTTTGAATACAAACACTGCTATTTTTTTTGAACAGTCTAATATTCACTTTTCTTCAATTTGTTTTGAGGAACAACACAAATTTGATATATTTTTCATGTTTTTGATTTGGAATAGAATGTGTAGTGTTCCCAATGCATTTGTGTGTATGGAAATAAAAGCTATTAGAAGGATTTTGAGTTTTATTCACTTTTTTTTAACACACTGCTATTATTTTGAACACAACTGTATTTATGAAGTCATGAATAAGTGCTAGTAGCACGAAAAGCATTGACTGCGTCTCCTTGCTCCCACGGTGTCTACTGTTGCTGTATATGGCATTTTAAAGGTTATCAATATAGTGGATGCAGTTTTCAAGTGTGCAGTCCTTGCAGAGTGCAACTGTCTATTTGCCTTTAGTAAATCAACCTCAGTATAGTGAGTACGTGTGGTCCCCCTGGAATGAAAGTGTCTCACTGGCAGGCTTATCAAGTGAAAAATAAAGGAAAAAAAAAAAAAGCCTGAAACAAGAAAATGAAGCCAGCCACCACATCTAAGGACGGACAAACTGCAATATATGCAACTTTTGTTGCTGTGTTTAGATATATTTTAATTTATATGATCATCATCATGTCCAGCAAAATGCAAAATCCACTGAATTCTCGTGTGTAGGGGATTAAACCCAACTCCTTGCTAGGATCTAAACTTTGACCAAAGTACAATAGGTTTATCTATGACAATAACCCCAAAATGACTATGTGTGAATACACAGCTCATACCTTTCCATTCCCTTGTCCTTTCTTTTGCTTAGTTTTGATAAATACATCAATTAACAAGAACGTATATTTTTTCCATATTATTATATTTATTGATGATAATGCATTATGTGCAAATACCTTAGTCAGAGGAGTTATGGTGTTAAAAATAAATGATGATCATAATACCGAGAGAGGAGGATTGGATAGAGAGAGTAAACTGGATTAGTAGGATGGAGAATTACTATATGCAGGAAGATAAGATGGGGATATAGAGGGAAACATTTTAAGAGGGGAAAAGAAAAGTAATAAGAAATAGATATGTATATTTATTGTGAATATGATGAAAGTGTTTGTATTTATTTTGATAAATTAAATAAATATTTAAATTTAAAAAAAAAAATGATGATCATAAATTATGATGTAGTTGATAGCTTGCCTTGTAACATGCTTTGGTTTTTTTTTTTTAAAAAGTTATTTTGACAACTGTTATTTGCAGTTTATTGAACTGAAATAAAGAAGAAAGAACAATTTAAGATTTGAGTCCAGTTGGTGTGGGACAACTTCTACGTTTTATTTCCAGTAATTTCATCACTTGGCCTTTACTCACAAAATAGCTGAAATAATAATCTGTGTTGCACCACAGCACCCATTTAGATTCCCTCTTTATTTCTCCAACTTTCATATGCTGGTCAGGAGGCACCCAAACGGACAGTTTTTCAGATACTTTGAGGCTTTCGGTGTTCTTCTAACACAGCAGTGAAAAATGTTTATACTTCCTTGTAGTGAAAGCTTTGCCACCACATAATAAATACATCAAGCAGAAAGACAATGATAATGTCAGCCTTTGAAAACACAGCAGCATATTTATATATATACAATCAATATTTTCAAGCTCAAGACAAGCCAATGAACACAGTGGTAACTTGTCTCTTTGTCATTATACACATACAGAACAAGCACAATAACCCAGAGACATGGAGTGCAATCTGCTTTGCATTACAAAAACAAACTTTAGTCCGTAGAAGACATCCTTCTATCTTCAGTTGTGCATCTGTATAGTCTGTTCTTTAGAATCTTTCTCTTCTTTGCTACTCATATTCTTCAGGTTCTCAAGTGCTCGATCTGCAGAGAATGTTATCTCCAGTCCAGATTTTTCGTGCAGCCATGACTCAACCTGCTTTTTCATCTGAAGAACTGTTTCAGAATCTCGGTGAATAAGAAAAAAAAATAAATTGTTAATAATGTACTGTACAACTTCAAATGCAGCAAACTTTGGCACTCATCTATAGTCATGAATTTATGCAGCACCCAAGTGATGTATCATGTATGCTGGGCTGCAGACTACAAAAGTGTTCGGTTGGTCTCCTTGACAATACAATGGCTGAAGGATTCAGACTGAAATTGTATTAAATTATACAAATGGTGAATATTTGTTTACAAAAGAAATTGAAATAATTTACTAAACAGGGAAATAAGGATTCAGTATTGTCAGTTATAAGATCTTATATATGCTGAAATTTGGTGCATCTTTTTGATGCATACTGAGCATTTCTGATGTCACGGTCTATATTACCAATGTCTGAATATGCATGAGCACTCAGTAAAACATTCATAGCTTTGTCCTTCACTGAAATGAATGCAGGTCAAGACCTCTAGCCATATTGATGTTGCGTACCATTCCATTGGAATGGTAATCTAAGAAGTCTACCAAGGTTAGAGTGTGGAGATTAGGTTGAATGACTGTCAGGAACAGGGTAGAAACCAGCATTTGTATGTCCCAAGACCCAAATTTAAAATTCACTTTGAATTGATCTGTGCTAATTCTTTCCTTCATAAATGGCATCTGAAGTACATTAGGCTCCCCTAGATGTTTGCAATTAATATCAGCTTATTTTTCAGAGCCCCAGAAAATCCTGATCATGAATTGTTGGGTCAGTCTATAGACTTTTAATGATCTCTCAGTACATAAACAGAATATACTGAATCCTGTAGATCACTGATGGGTACACCTATCAATCAAAATGAACCACTATTACATGGAAAACACGATATAAACATCACTGATCCACTAACTAATCAGCAAGTAGGTGCAGGTACAGAATAGATGAAGTAACATGATGTCATATGAAATGAACGTTACATGATGGATGCCCAATAGAAGATTACAGTAGACACTAAGCTCCGTGTTGCAATTACATGTAATCTTCTTCAGGGAATAATTATAATGGCAACAAACATAATTCTATGAATCACCATATGGCGGTAACATAAAGAGAACCACTTGCATATATTGTGTCCATCAGTTCACTACAATATACATTCACTAAGCTAACATTAAAAATACAGAGATCTGGGAGTCAACAGCTGCCCCGCACAGGTCACCCACCATAGACAGACCTCACAAGGATCACCATAAAACATCTCGGCTCTACCAAGAGTAAACAGGGCTAGTATGAAAAGACATGGGATGTTAGGTGATCTGTTGGGCATCCATCATGTAACATTCATCTCATATGACACCATGTTACTTCATCCACACTTTACTTGCACTTACTTGCTGATTGCTGAGTGGATCAGTAGTTTCTAAAGTTTTTTCCATGTAATAGTGATTCATTTTGATGAATAGGTGTACCCATTAGTGGTGTACAGAGTTAAGGTGTGAAACCCAGTATATTCTGTTTATGTACTGAGCGATCATTAACAGTCCATCTCTGACCCAACATTTCATGATCAGCCATTGCACTATTTTTTTATCAGTCTTATTTTTATGAATTTGTAATAAAAAGTTAGGAAAAATAATTATAATATTTTTTTTACAGTTTCTTTCTTGGGTGCCTTAAAAAAGTCCTCTATATTTATGATTCCTTTGAATATGGCACACCAAGTAGAAACGGACCATGTAGTCTCTCTGTTTCATTAGGTAAATATCAACTTCAGCAACAAAAATTTGGAGGTTTTATGAAAAGGTGATCGAACCTCTGACTTCTTGGCTAAAGCTAGTATTTGAATAACTATGTTCCCTGAGTTTCTATGATGCTCTAAATAGAAACGAATGTTACCTTCAAGCACAGAGAACCTGGTAACAGTCTAGAAAGCTAAGAGTGCAGATTTGTTTTCAAATGTTAAAGCTGAGACAAGGCAAGTTAAAAAAAAATAATAATGTTGCCAAGGACATGTATTATATGTCACAGAAATCAAAGAGTTGAACAATAGCTTTCCTGAGCTTGTTGGTAATTAATCTGCCTTCCTCTCTTTACGAGAAGTGTTCCAAGTGGCTATAAAGCCACCTGTTCCATTCTACAGACTGGCTTTCCCAGACTTATGTAGGCTCAGGGCTCTCTTAGCACCACTTCTATCTAAGCCAGAAGTAGAAGTAAATGTTTGGTTTATAATTTGACTTAATTCTAAACTGGTGAGCTGTAAACATTTTACATGTAGTCTTTATTTACAATTTTGAGCACTGTAGTTTTTCAAGCATTTCCAATTTTAAAGCTGTATATATTTGATTTTATTAACTCAATCCAGTCTAATTTTTTTACGTTTAGTGAAACATTTGGAGACCATAATGTGCTTGTGTGCACTAACAAAATCTGTATTTTTTTTACTGAAAATATGTATCTTATAAACAATTGTGCGAATATAATGTGATATACAAAAGTGAAAGTACCATATTTTTATTCTATAATTCCTCTGTTTGCAGAACATATAATATTTTGTAGATCTTAGTAAACTTGTGAGCCAAATTTGTACATTTTAACATGTGGAGGGAAAAACTAGCCAGGCAGTATGTAAGAATTATCCCAATCATAATTCTATTTAACCACTTTCCCTCCAGAGGATTTACCCCCCTACCTGACCAGGCCATTTTTTGCGTTACGGCACTGCATCACTTTAACTGACAATAGCGCGGTCATGAAACGCTACACCCAAATGAAGTTTATGTCCTTTTTTCCCACGAATTGAACTTTCTTTCGGTGGTATTTGATTGCCTGTGTGTTTTTTTATTTTTTGCGCTATAAAAAAAAAAAAAGACTGACAATTTTGAAAAAAAAAAAAAAACAATATTTTTGAGTTTTTGCTATTAAATATGTCCAGTAAAAAAAATTTAAAAATCTAATTTTGTCATAAATTTAGGCCAAAATGTATTCTGCTACACATCTTTGCTAAAACAAAATCCCAATACGTGTAAATTAACTGGTTTATGTGAAAGTTATCGCGTTTGCAAATGGCAGTATATATACTGGGATTTTTTAAAAATATTTTTACTAGTAAGGGTGGGGATCAGCGACTTATAGCGGGACTTCGGTGAGTATTCTGATACTGGGGAGAACTGACTTGGTGTCACTGACATCCCCAGTGACACCAGTACAGTGATCAGTGCTAATAAAAAGCACTGATGCTGTACTAATGGCACTGGGCAGGAAAGGGTGCGGCGATCAAAGGGTTAACTGTGTGCTTGGTGTGTTTTTACTATGGGCTGTGTCTGTGTGCTTCACTGTAAGCACACTGCTTTGCATGGCTGTGCTATGCACAGCCATGCAAAGCAGTGTGCATGAGCTGACAGGGAGGAAAAACTGTTTTGTTTACTAACAGTTCTCCCCCCCGTCAGAGATCCTCGGCAATCACCGGGACCCGACCTGCGAGTAATCACCGGCCGGGACCCAGTGAATGACAGCCTTGGATAGCTGGAGGAACAGATATACTAGCTCAATGCTGAGTGTACCCTTCTAGGAATTACAACAAGGAGTGCTATAAGTCATTAGTGTTAATCACTAAGCCCACACAGCTGCCAAAGTGTGCAGTAGTTTCAGTAATATAAATAAAACTTCATTTCTCTGACACCTGTGCTATGCCCGTTGCTTGTTAGGTTAAGCCGCTTTAGAAAGCTGTGGGCTAAGATGACCTCTTTTGCATGTTCTTCTTGTGCTCTGAGAGTCAAGGCACCCAGCAGCTCCGCATTGTTAGATGTGCTCCTGTAGTACAACATATGAGCTAATTCCAGTGAATGGGCTCTTCTCCTCTGAGAAAACACCTGGAATATACATAAATAGAATTGTCACAAAAAAACAAGAAATGAGTGAACTGAGAAAACCTATTATTCACAGTGTATTGATAATGGGAACATAAAATAAAGGACTTAAAGTGGTTCTGAAGCCTGAAGGTAATTTACCTTCCTGCATTTTATGTATAAAGGTAAAAAACCTTCCGTGTGCAGCTCTCCCCTCAGCCCCCCCTAATACGCACCTAAGCCTGATACCAATCTAGCAATGTGAATGAGAGCAGAAGTTCTCCTGAGTCTCTGCCTCCTCACGCACCATTGGCTCCTACAGGAGGAGGAGGGAGCGGGGGGACAAGGTCGAGCCCCATTGTGTGCCTCATATAAACACACAGAGTCGGCTTTGGAGCGAGCACGCACGAGTGCCCCCAGAGCATGCAGCTTGCTGAGGACACTCAGCATGGGGGAGAGGTCTGCAGTGACAGCGGGTGACACAAGAAGAGGATTGGGGCTGTTCTGTACAAAACAATGGCAAGTATGACATGTTTGTTATTTAAACAAAAATAGGAATCTTTAAAATCACTTCAACTACTCAGCACAGTGTGAAGCTGGCCACAGATGGATTGAAATTCGGCAGGTTCAACAGGAACTGGAAGAATTTCGATCTATGGCCATTCCTGTTCCATATAAGTCTAATAATCGACTTCTCCCGATTCAGCCTTTATGAACATTTTCTTTCAATCATCACTACAATCCCGCTATCAGAATACAATACACAATGGGGAGCATTCTTCCATCCACCTTGCTTGGAGAAAATGTATCCATACATGGCCAGCCTAATGAGTATTAAAGGAGAAGTACAGCCAAAGCTCTTTTGGCTGTACTTCTCCTGTGGATCACAGGAGTACTGTTTGTTCTGCAACTCCTGTGACCCGTTTTCAGGTGACAGCGGGCTGAAGCCCACTGTCTGCTGATATTCCTGGTCCAGGCTTGGGAAAGATCCCGACTTTAAAGTTGGGATCTACCCCAGAGTCTGGAGTGGCATCTGGCTCAGCCTCTCAGCAATGTGTTAAGAGCCTGAGCCAGCCTCTCCTCCTCCACAGCCCAGCGCTCCAGTGAGCACGTGGGGGGGGGGGAGAAGGCAGAGCACAGAGCAGCGACTACTGACAGTCCAGCTCTCTGCTCAGAGCAGCTCTGAGAACTCAGCGATTAGCAGTCATGTGATCACCAAATTCGCACATGTAGAGCTGGACAGATGCTGCATCCACCTAGTTAAGTATAAATGGGCAAAAAAAAGCCCTACTCCTCTTTTAAGGTTGCAACTGATCACAGATGTGATTTTAACACAATCCCCTTTAAAAAGGTTAGTTCCGAAGTGATAAAAAATAATCAGGCATGTCAACTACTGTATTTGGAGTCCCCAAACCTTTTACTCTCTATAAACCCACAGAGAGTGTTTTTTTTTTCCAAAGCTGTTTTTGTTCCACACCTTACATATACATTTTTCTTCCCTTTAAAAAAAATATTTTAAAAAAGTATTGCCTTGTAGTTTTCTTCCAACACAGCTTTTACAAAGTTCCAGATATGTATTTCCAAAACATAACTGAAAAAGTTGTCTAAACACAGTGGAATGGTAAAACTTGCTTTTGCTTTAGGGTTCCCATTTTATTTTTTCAATTCCTAATTTCATCACACTCCGGCAGTACAGAAATCATAAAACAGAAACATCAGAAATAACATGTTCATTCAGTGGTTCAGTGAGAGAGGACTGTGTACCATCTTAGGCCCGTTTAAATGCCACCCAGGTTTATCAGAGTATGTGATTAAGCGTTCAGTTGTCTCTGTACCACTTGTTTCATTCTGCATTTCAAACTCAATAAAGAGAAGAGAGTAGAAAATGCGGGGGTGAGAGAGATGGGGGGAGGAGTGTGGGCGTGTAAAAAGAAAAAAAAAAAGAAAGAGGGTTTAAGAAAGAGGGGAGGAAAGGAGAAGGTGAGGGGAAAGAGGGAAGTGGAGCATGAAGAGGAAAAGGGGCAGAAAGTTGCCATCCACTCCTCCATCCCTCCTGACCCAGCAAAACCAGCAGAGTGGCCTCCTCTGTGTACAAAATAAATTTGTGCCAGCAGAACCACTTTTTGAGGAATTTTTCTCAAAGGCCCCTCCTCGTGGCCACCAAGTACCCCAGACAGATACTGATGGGGCCTGTTTCTGCTTCCAGAAAAGCAGGATGCAGCTTTTCACAGCAGTGAACAATAATGGTAGAATGGAGCATCTGTAGGTTTACCCGGATATACGGTGGTGATGCAGGATGAAAAACGCAGTCCCACAATATCACATGATCGGTAAATTTCTGAGTAATACGGCACAAATCTGACCAGTAGGTATGTAGGGAATGACAGGACCAAAAGATGTGAAGAAAAGAGCCAGTCTCCTCTCCACTATGCCAGCAGATGTTGGAACATTGAGGAAGCATTTTATCGATCCTAACAGGCGTGAAATACCAGTGTCAACAGGTTGAATTAAGGTTGTTGGTATCTGGAGTCAATGGAGGTTTTATAAGTGGACAGGAGAATTTTCTCTACCTGTTTGTCCGTAAGGCTTAGCCCTAAAACTTGTTCCCATTTGGAAATGTATGGCAACCTATATGTGGTGGGTGGGGACACAAGTAGACGGTAAATCTAAGAGACTGTGTGGTGCAACGAGGAGCTATAAGTGTGCATAGAATGCATGAAGGTAAAAAACCTTGAGCCTTTACAACCACTTTAAGGTTTAAAGCTGTGGTGATGAGATCAAGGGGTTCTATGATCAAGGGATTGACTTCTGTAGTGATTAGATCCCTACAGATTAGTTCAGCTAGTTTCTAACAAACTAAGGTTACTGCTAAACCTGGTTACACTAAAGGACCTGCCAGTGAGAACAGATCTCCAGAAAGGCACTCCAACTACAGGAGAAGGGTCAGGCAGCTGAAGGTGTGCAGGTCACTGTAGGCAGCAGCAGAAATTGACTAAAGAGGATTCCATGTGTCACTTGCACTCTAGAGCAGCAGCAGGAAGGTCTTCTTAAACACTGAATTACGGGAAAAAGTGCAGAGCACGTGCAAAACTCCACTCAGTAGATAGTGGCAGTTCTCAATCCCTAAAACATAAAACTTCTGTGATAAATCTGAGTGAGCCTTCAGAGACGGGGTCACATCTGGGGCAGAGCTGTCAATAGCTAACACAGTACACTCTAGACTGGAAAGTGGCACTTGCAGAACCCAGTGGCGGACAGTTATCTTCTAGCTAGCCCTGCATATCTTGTCCACCAGTTTTGGGTATGACACTCCAAAGTCCTGCTTAGGAAAGGCTGATCTAGATAGCTGCATAGAAAGACCAGCTCAGCAGTGGAATCTTGATTAAAGAAAAAGGTAAGAAAAAAGTAGCTAACAAGAAATGTTGGACTTTTCTCCACAGAGCAGAGAAAGGAGTCCTATATCCTAGGACGTTAGCAAAAAACAAGGTATGCTGGAAGTATGAGAGGTTAAACTGGGCCGACCACAGTATTTTGTTTGACAGTGTCTCATTGTCCTAAAGTTGGCAGTATAACCCGATAGTTTGTGACTTCCTCTGCCTCTCAAAAAATAAAGAAAAAGTTATGCATACACTTTTAATAACACCAAGGGATGGCTAAGCATGCATTCCTCTGTTGGAGCCAGGAGTCCAAATCCTTTGTAAGCTCCGTGTCTGATGTTGACAGAGATTACATGAGGTTGATGGCGTAGGAAAGGTACACGGGCTGCTGAAGAGAGAGGAGTATACTACCTCTTCTCTTACAGGAAGATGCCAATTTTCATTTTGTTGTTAAAAATATTTTAATACTGTAGTATTGTGATGTTGTGTCTTTTTTGTTTCATTTTTGTAGCTTGATATTAAACTAATAATCTATCAGGTTTTGCTTTAGATTCAGATTCTGAATACTTTTTTATTCCCAGTTTTTAGATTTCCAAATAGTTTGACTACTCACCTTCCAAGCTCGGAAAGTCATGAATCCAGCAAACAAGAAGAAGAGCAAGGAAGTTCCAATCTTCAGGTCTGTGACGACCACCATCCCCACATTGACAAACACAATGCCTCCGCTTACTAGCAGCATAATGTTCAATAAAGTGCGATCAAAGCTGGACGTTCGCACCTTTACAACAGGAAGCAGCTGCTCTAACCCCTCCAGAGGTATATCTTTAAAGCATTTTAAAACCATATGGGAGTTTTTAGGTCGAGCTGCTAGTAGAACCCGCTTAAAGAATCGCCTGTTGGAAGAAAAATTAAACCATTAGAAGGTAGAACTGCAAACAATAAATGAATGACAGGTAATAGCTGTAAAATACCAGGCATTTTTGCCTTGCATGCCCTTCTTATTTAATGTACAGATGTATAGTAAAGAAGATATATAATGTATGGAAGATCTAAAAATAAACCTGAATATTCTAAAAGGTTTTCCAGGTTCAGATGACTTCATATATAACCCATAGCACAGAGATTGTGGTATAAGGTGCTTAACTTGAAGAGCACTGTAGTATATGGTAAGCAAAGCAAATTAGGAATTAACGGAACTGGGCATAGAGGTAAATTATTTTTCTTAAACAGTCACAGAACTGGACAATTTAGAGTATAGCTAAAGTCAAATCTTTTTTAGTTTGGATAGAGTAGGGAAGTGTTAAAACCGCTGTCAGTGTACATAAAGCTAAAACTTTTTTTTTTTTTCTGTTTGGGCTAGAGTAGGGAATGATTTTCCCATCTGTGTCTCATTACAGAAATTTTCCCTTCACTTCCTCTTCTGTAGTCTCAACAGAAATTGAAAGGGTATCTTTCCAATGTGAGAGAAATCACCTCTGCCACAAAACAAATTGTCCCCATTGGAAGATTTCCCCTCTATCAATGGTCTGGTGAAAACTCAAAAATTTGGATTTACCCTCACATTAACTTGTGGTTACATTGGTGATAAGGACAATCTGACAAAGTGAATTTCCTTAATGAGAAAATAGACAGCAATACAAACCTGACCCTGGTTCTAGCCACCTCACCACTCTATCCAAATCTAAAATAATTAATTAATAAATAGTGGGCTGCTTTGCTGACCAACAGGAGGGAGGGATAGAACCAAACTGTTCCAGGGATGTTGCATTCAATGTCAGCTGCCTACAGCTCTGGATATACTGATTGTATTGATATGCAGTTTTTATGCATTGTTTATCAGTATGCACTGCTCCTATCTGTGACAGGTTTACTTTTTCAAAAACCTGACTATTAGCAAACAAAATTTCTATTAGGGTTGTCAGAAGAGCATATTTTTATTCATGGTTTGAAGCACCTGCAAAACCTCTCATAAAAGCTTTATTGCTGCTAGAAATAAATGGACTCACTTTAAGAATACTGAAAGCTGCTGACAAGTATGAAAGGCAGGTACCTAGATGTACTTTGTCATACCTTTCATTTTCAGCATCTTGTGGCTCACCAGAATGCTGGGCAGATTTGATGGGGCACACTTTTGAGTATAGTCAGAGCGTGATACTAAGCTTCCCTCCCCACAGTACTATTTGTTCATTCCAGCGGGGCTGCACCCCATACCTGTCAACAGTTTTTGGTATTGTTAAATCCCAGCTCTAGTTATTAGGCAAAACTAACCCTTGCCTTAAGCTGTAGGGCTTACACCAAATGTTTGTAGATTTAGATGATTCCTGTAATGCTTCAGTTTCAGCAACATTGGTGCATGTTATCTACAGCAGCTGATGATGATCGTGCCACTCCTGAAGATACACAGCTCACATTATACAGAAGCTATCAGTGGCAACAGCGCAGCCAGCTAAAAATTGCCATAAATATAATGAGAGGTTTGTAGTGGCTACAAATCTTTTCTACAAAACAGCTTGTGTGACATGGCCCTTACCCAACATTACTCACAGTATATCAATATAAATACACAATTCCCAGAACAGGGGAAGAGTATATTCACAAAGTCATACAATGTGTTCTGTATACTGGTTATTACAATGTTTCCATATTTACATTGTACATGGTGACCACCCAGAACCAAGTCTTGCCTTTCTGGTGGGGTGCGTGGACTTCGGGAGAAAAGTGATTCCTTGGAGTTCATCTGTGAGGTTAGGGGTCCAAGTCTTTGTCCAAGTGCCCAGTAACGGATATATTCGTATTTATCAAGATTCACATGAACCTAAAGTGCCACAGCAAGCTTTCATGTTATATAAATTATGGTTTATTTCTAACATCAAATACTGGTAAAGCACTTCCAATATGACATAACAAATCAAATATCATATAACCTCACAGTAAACTGCATAAATCCTGTATTATAATAATAATAATAATAATAATAATACCATAACCCTTTACCATAAACAGATCCCCCCAGTATACAGTATCCTTCACTGCTTTTTCATTCTAGTAAAACAGTAATTTACTAAATGTGTTTAAGTGTGTATGAATTAATGCAAAAAACATCCAGGTAGTAGCACATGTATACTGGGGAAATACTACAACTCTATATCCTTGTCTGCAGGAACCTGCATCAAATGTTGTCAACATTAGACAGTGTTAGACAATCTGATGCAGATGGCAGATCAGTAGTAAAGCTCACAAGTGATTCTAGGGTAATCACACATGACAGGTAGTCATGAATCCAGCACTGATGCAGACATCTCTAGTTGAAGTGTACATCAATTCTAAAAATATACTTCTCTTATTTGCTTATTTTTGGTCTGTTTGTTATACAGTGGGCATAGAGAATAATCATCCCCTTAAAATAATCACATTTTGTTGTTTTGCAGCCTAAAATTAAGACAGACACCGTTTTTGTTTTATGCAGCTGCATTTACTCATTGCAACCTATAACATCCAAGTGAGAAAGATATAACACCAACATGTCAGGAAAAAAAATAAAAACAAATTCAAAAACAGAATCACTGAGTTGGAAAAATGATCACCCCCTCCTAAAAATGACTCAATCAGGTGTAGCTAATCACCTTCTCAATGGCACACAAAGTCTTCTGACTTTCAACTGTGAGTAGCTATAGCTATTTTGACTAGCTCAGCATGAAAAGAGCTTTCCAGGAGCATTTCAGTTCCTAAGAGTGCAACTGACGCAAACAATCAACTATGGGTGGCTAGGCACTGTCAAAAGATTCCCGGGATAAAGTTGTGGACAGGCACAAGTCAGGAGATGGATACAAAAGCATTTCAAAGGCTTTATCAATGACTAGAAGCACAGTGGAGTTTAATATTAAGAAGTGCAAAGTATTTGGTACAATACAGACCCTCCCTGGATCAGGACATTGCTCCAAACTGGATGAAAAAGCCAGGAGGAAACTGGTCAGAGAGGCTACCAAAAGGCCTACAGCAACTCTGAAGCAGTTGCAGGAATTTATGACAAAGAGTGGTCATTCTGTGCATGTGACATAATGTGGCTTGTATGGGTGGGTTGCAAGAAAAAAGCCACTCCTCAAGAAATGCCACATGCAGTCATGACTGAGCTTTGCCATAACACACCTTGAAGATTCTGAGGCCACAAAAAAAGGTGTTATGGTCAGATGAGACTAAAATTGAATTATTTGGCCTCAACACTAAACGATATATCTGGCTGAAATCAAATACAGCTCACCATCCAAATAACACCATTTCTACAGTAAAGCATGGAGGTGGTAATATCCTGTTATGGTGGTGTTTCTTTGCAAAATACTGATAATTGTTGAGGAAAATCAGCTACCCTCTGCCAGAAAATTGTCAATGGGAAGAAGGATTATGTTTTAACATGACAATGACCCAGAGCACACAGCAAAAATGACCACACAGTGGTTGAAGGAGAAAAAGGTGAATGTCCTTGCGTGGCCTTGTCAGAGCCCAGACTTAAACCCCATTGAAAATCTGTGGAATAACTTGAAGACAGCAGTCCACAAATGGTCACCATCAAATTAAACTGAACTTGAGCAGTTCTACAAAGAAGAGTGGGCAAATATTGCAGTCTAGATGTGCAAGGTTAGTAGAGACTTATCACAACAGACTAAAAGGTTGTACTTAAAGCAAAAGGTGGTTCAACAAAATACTGACAATGGGGTAATCCTTTTTCCAACTCAGTGATTCTGTTTTTTATTTTTTTTCTGACATGTTGGTGTTATATCTTTTACTTGGATGTTATAAATACAGCTGGATAACACAAAAACTCTGTCTATCCTTATTTCAGACTGCAAAGCGTCAAAATGTGATTATTTTAAAGGGGGGTGATTCTTTTCTATACCCACTGTATCTCTTTGATAAGTGCAAGCAATACCTGTTGATCTCTCCAGAAACCAATCCGCCCATATATATCTGTGCTCTATGCCTCTGCTGCACTGTGATTGGCTAAGAGAACAAGGGGTGTACTGTAGTCCAAACACACTGCCTGTCGTAGGGTAACAATGCTGCTTCTTTACATATATAGTACAGTGAGTGATTATTTCCACCTAAGGTCAGAATGTGCGTTACTGGCAGGATCACAGGTAAAAATAATCCAGCCACTGGATCGGCAAGTTGCAATACATAAAATGTTTAGTTCTGAGTTTTAGATACACTTTAACAAAGCTCTCTTGGGTAAGTGATGAAAGAAAGACTACAGCATCAGCGAATTCTTACTTCACCACCTAGTTCACAGGAAACTACTGACTGCATCAATACAGTAATATTCATGATGTACTGGAAGGTTCAACCTATACTCTTACACATGCATGATCTGCCACTCCAAGCTTTTGTCCATAGGAATATTTGCTTTTATAAAATAATTGCACAATTATTTTTTATTTTATTTTTTTTAATGGTTAAACTGAATGGACTTTTGTCTTTTTTCAGCCAGGCTCTCTATATAACTATGATTTTGGTGACATTTCATACCTGCACAGTAAAATGAAATTGAATATGACACTTCATTCACATATGCAGTGTAGGAATGTGGATGTGCTCTTTAGAATAAGAATTTGTGCTGCACAACCCAGACCTTTCACATAAAGGCTAACATTCAATTACAAAGCAAGGCAGAAATAAGCATTCGAATACACATTTGAGGCATACTGTGTTAATACATAAAAGAATACATCAAATACCTGCACTCCGTCCTGAGGGTGATGCACAATTAGTGCATAAGCCAAAGCATCCTCAGACAACACATTAAAGTTAGCCTGATCCAGAACTGGCTGCATTTGCTCTAACACCTGTTTTTCTCTGGATAGCTTTTCTCTGTCTGTGAGGCTGCTGGAATCTAGCACAGCGTCACAGTCAGGATTGATGGGATCATACAAAGTCTAGGAGAGAAAAAGCATATTTCATTAAAAAGAAAACACATTTCAAGCAATCATTGCAAGTGTTTATTATGTTGCAATAGCTTTGTGTCAGTTCCCAGATCCCTGTTCCATTACATACGCAAATAAATAAGGGAAAAAAAAGATGTACAGCAAAGTAGTACTTAGTAAATATGCTCAAGAATGAAGTGTGTGCTACCGGGGAACCATATTTTAGTACTGACTACAGTCCTGTCTTTTTCTGTTCTGTATCAGTCCAGCTGCTGTGTAGGCCAAGATATCTGTTCATGTACACCGGCAAGTGTTCTCTAGGTCAGTAATATTCTGTGTTTTATCATACCAACAACTACACCAAGCAATGTAAAGGTGTCAGTGCAGAGATCCATATCACTTTATCATAGTAAGAATGCTGGTTTTGGAGAATGTAGTACAACATATAAAAGAAGTTATACCACTGAGAAAGTCACAAAACGTAAGTTACCTAATTTATATAAAAAGACTTGCATAGACAGGTTTTAGAAAGGTACTTTGACTTACCTGTAGTTTCCCATAAGTACAGTACTGGGCACAGGCTGGATATTCAAAGATCCTGGATTATAGGCCTCTACCTTCAGGTGATTGGACACTAACAAAGCTTTTAGACATGTCCCCCTATAACCCCAGCCCACCCCTACACTGGAACATAGGGTAGGGTGGCATGTATTCTGTACTGTACTGTTAAGATATGAAATTTACAGGCAAGTCAACATTTCTTTTTTTTTTTTCGTTAATTGTACAGTACAGGACACAGATGGATATTCATATACCATGGGACTTTCCTAAGCAATGAATCAGAGAGGTGGGTTACAAAGAAAAAAGCTATGCCAATGTGCCCATTAAAACAGATAAGGGTCAAAGACCCAACACAGAATGCTACTGAACCTTGAGGCTGAAAGCTGCATCCCTAAAGGCTTGGACATCCACCTGGCAAAACTTGCAGTATCTATGAACTAAATACCTAGTGGTGGCCTTACAGAGCTGAGCAACATACACCTGATGTCTGAATGCCCAGGAGAGCACAATCTAGAGTACATTTTCCTCAATGTGGCTTTTGCTAGCTTTGAGTTAATGTGGGAACAGCTTTTCTGGCTTTGAGTAATGTGGGAACATGTAGGAGTCAGAAACACCCAAGTACTTTAATACGTGAGCTTGAAGCAAAACCTGGTTACAGGGCTGGACCTACAAGAGCAGAAACCATAAATGAAGGAACATCTTTTATAGGCACATTAAGATGTTAAGGATCGAAAAAAGCAGGGTCTACTACTGAACCAGTCCTATTTAATGAATTCGTTTTGCGTTGGACATAGCTCGGCAATAATTCTCAGAAAATTGAAAAACATTTCAGGAGAAACCCAATTCTCATAAAATTCCCATTCTATTTGTTCATGAATGGCAAATGTCTTTTTTAGATCTCTTAGTACCCAGAGGGATTTCGAGAGGATATTCAAGTGTGACTATATCAAGGCATTTATGTACAGAAGAAGTAAGCCTATCTACATATTGGGTGTATGATGTATGGGAGGAGGGGAAGTAAGAAATCTTACATGGCCTCCTCAAACACCACCTCTTGGTCTCACTGGAATTTATTAACTAGCAACTCACTCTTACTGTCACTAACTACTTTCCTTTGAGAAGTTAAGCGTTCACAATATAGCAATAGCACTTTATGAACATTTTCCCCAGAAATTTACTTTAAAGTTTTCCATGTCTATCTCTTCTAAGGGAGGTAGTTCAACTTCCCACTCAGGTAGAGAAGGTGGAGGTGGAGAGAAGAAACCTGGCACTTTTGGACTCTGGACAGTGATGGCTGAATTAAGGCCATTAGTTGTTTGAGAAATTCTGACATAGTTCCAGAGAAATCTGCCTTGACCAGATAGGCCAGTTACAGCATTCCTGAGAAACAGCTAGAATCAGATAAAGAGACCATTGTTAAAATAGGGTGCAAGGAAAGCAGTGTGACTCTGAGCAGTTTGTGGCCTTTACAGCCCATCGGCAGGGCAAATATTTACCTGAGCTTTTGTTTTGGTTCCATTGCTCCTGGTTTCCACCATTGCTATCAATGAGGATATTCCCTTTGAGGTACTCACAGAGTAGGGTGTGGAAATAGAGTAAATATGTCTGGGGAAGGATACACAGCAACCCAGGTGTTGACCGTCCTGTAGCAAAGTCCTTGTGGCAAAGGGACAGGAAAATGTGCTTGAGTACTTTATATGGACTCTGGTATAATGTACCACTTAGCCATCCACCTGAGACTGAGCTCTGAATAGTGGAAATGTTACCACCAAATGTGAAATTTTAAACATTCAATTAAATTTAGTAGAATTGTATAAAAATTAATGCTATTCAGGAGACACTAATAAGTGTACTGCAAGAAGTGGAGATATTTAGTCTCATACTAAATAGGTCACTAGTCCCTGTCTGGGGTGTTGGCAATCATGGTGGGAGTCTTCAGAGTCTGCAAACCACAGGAATGGGCAACTGCTCTGGACCTGTAGAACACCTTGTGGCTAACTACATGCATTGCACTAAGTGCTGAGGTGAGTAGTACACTCCAGAATCAATAGTGTGCATTTTGCTTTTTGTATCCTAACTAAAACACACTGATACTAATACTAATTTAAAAAATGTTTTTGTTTTTTTTTTTACATCCTGCCCAAAAATACTGACTGTGAACTTTGACCCTAACTTGACTCAGCACTAACCTAGGTCAAACCTGCGAGGGAGGGAGAGAGAGAGGGGAGAGAGAGAGAGGGGGTGTCACTTTAATGTCAGATATGAAGATTTCTAACATGAAAGTGGCAGTGTGGTTTGTGGCAAACACTATTTAAGACAGAGATTGCCAGAATCTGAGAAAGTCTAAAAACAGGGTTAAGGAAAAATGGCAGAATTGGTAGAAACTTTCCTATAAATATATTTTCCAATGTTTTAGCAAGAAACCAAAGAGAGCACATTCACCTGAAGCTCCTCCAGTACTGCATGGTAAGGCTGGAGGAGAGTCCCTTCTAACTGCTTGACAAAGGAAAGAAACGTCTGCTTCTCCAACTCACTAGAGGAGTGGAATTCCTGAAAAGTATTAAAGTGTTGTATCCTAGTTAGTAAAAAAATAACTCAATGCAAGAAATACAAATTTAAATATGATACATAAATTAAAAAGAAATAAAAGTACAAATACAACTACAGTGAGGAACAGAAGTATTTGAACACCCTGCGATTTTGCAAGTTCTCCCACTTAGAAATCATGGAGGGGTCTGAAATTCACATTGTAGGTGCATTCCCACTCTGAGAGACAGAATTAAAAAAAAAATTCAGGATATCACATTGTATGATTTTTAAAGAATTTATTTGTCTTGCACTGCTAAACATAAGTATTTGAACACCTAAGAAACAGCAAGAATTCTGTCTCTCAAAGACCTGTTACTGTGCCTTTAAAAAGTCCACCTCTACTCCACTCATTAATCTAACTTAGTAGCACCTGTCTGAGCTCTTTAAAGACACCTGTTCACCCTACAGTCAGTCAGACGCCAGCTACTATCATGGGCAAGACCAAAGAGCTGTCAAAAGACACCAGAGACAAAATTGTGGACCTCCACAAGGCTGGAAAGGGCTATGGGGCAATTGCCAAGCAGCTTGGTGAAAATAGATCAACTGTTGGAGCAATTGTTAGAAAATGGAAGAGGCTAAAGACGACTGTCAGTCTCCCTTGGACTGGGGCTCCATGCAAGATCTCACCTCGTGGGGTATCACTGATGATAAGAAAGGTGAGGAATTAGCCCAGAACTACAAGGGAGGAGCTGGTTAATGACATGAAGAGAACTTGGACCACAGTTTCAAAGGTCACTGTGGGTAGAACACTACGCCGTCATGGTTTCAAATCATGCATTGCACAGAAGGTTTCCCTGCTCAAGTCATCACATGTCCAGGCCCGTCTGAAGTTTGTCAATGACCATCTGGATGATCCAGAGGAGGCATGGGAGAAAGTCATGTGGTCAGATGAGACCAAAGTAGAACTTTTTGGTCTAAACGTCACTCGTCGTGTTTGGAGGAAAAAGAAGGATGAGTTGCATCCGAAGAAACACCATCCCTACTGTGAAGCATGGGGGTGGTAACATCATGCTTTGGGGGTGCTTTTCTGTGAAGGGGACAGGACGACTGCCCTGTATTAAGGAGAGGAAGAATGGGGCCATTTATTGTGAGATTTTGAGCAACAACCTCCTTCCCTCAGTCAGAGCATTGAAGATGGCTCGTGGCTGGGTCTTCCAACATGACAACAACCCGAAGCACACAGCCAGGATAACCAAGGAGTGGCTCCATAAGAAGCATATCAAGGTTCTGGAGTGGCCTAGCCAGTCTCCAGACCTTAATCCAGTAGAACATCTTTGGAGGGAGCTGAAACTCTGTGTTGCTCAGCGACAGCCCCAAAACCTGACAGATCTAGAGGAGATCTGGGTGGAGGAGTGGGCCAAAATCCCTGTTGCAGTGTGTGCAAACCTGGTCAAGAACTACAGGAAACGTTTGACCTCTGTAATTGCAAACTAAGGCTTCTGTGCCAAATATTAACACTGATTTTCTCAGCTGTAGGTGTTTCAAATACTTATGTTCAGCAGTGCAAGACAAATACATTCTTTAAAAGTCATACAATGTGATTTCCTGAATTTTTTTTTAAATTCTGTCTCTCAGAGTGGGAATGCACCTACAATGTGAATTTCAGACCCTCCATGATTTCTAAGTAGGAGAACTTGCAAAATCGCAGGATGTTCAAGTACTTCTGTTCCTCACTGTATATATTCATGTAAAAAAAAGATCTGAGAAAAAGAAATAAGAGAAACAAGTCCATTATTAATTTTTTTTCACCATATGAAAAAAAGTAATCAAGAAATACAATGTTCAAGTTCATTGGATTTGTGGTAATGCTTTCCTTTTTCTTCGTTCTTGGCAAGAGAGTGAAGGAAAGATGAGTATGTGGTGCTAAAGGGGGGGGGGGGAGGAAAACCTGCTGCTTTACTCTGAATGAACAAAGCACAGGTTTGCTGCAACTGTGTTCAATAATCACATACAGAGCTAAAAATTTGTATTCCATAATAGGAAAATTCTGGAGATGTAAAACCTTGATGGCTCTGCATTGAGGAGTCACCTTGTGGCATATTCTATAATAGCAGGATTCTTGAGCTGTAAACCGTTTGTGATGGATATATGTTTAGGACAGTAAACTTGTAATGCTAGTAACTGTATTTTCATCAGCGACTCCGTGGGCTTCATGTATCAGAGGGTCAGTACTAACAATAAATTACTTCCATAATCTTTTACACCTGTTGCTGCAATGGTCTGAATCTGAATCTAGCTCTATTTATATACACCGATCAGCCATAACTTTATGACCATCAGTGCATGCTATAAATTCTGCAGGGTGCCCAAACATTTGCAGACGCCATTTTTTTGTTTTCTGTTATTTTGAAAGTGTAAATGATGGAAATAAAATCTAACTTTTGTTGACATATAAGAATGTATAATCTGTAATTTGATGCCTTTTGGAGATTTTTCCATCTTTCCTTGGCTTCTTTATGCACATTAATACAAATTTTTAGCTGGGGTGCCCAAACTTTCGATCCCCACTGTATGTGGAATAACACTCCAAAACACATTCTGCTACTTCTCCCGAGTATGGGGATACCACATGTGAGAAACTTTTTGGTACCAATCCACATACAGGCCCCCAAACTCCAAGGACCACTTTCAGGCTTTCAAAGAGCATATGTCCTCATATCACTTCCTCACTACCTATCACAGTTTTGGAGGCCCTAAAATGCCAGGAAAATACAAACAACCTCCCAAATGAGGTATGGTGAGCATTTTGCAGATATTTTTTTAACAAATGAGATTTAATGTTGACGAAAAAGTAAGGTTATGCACTTGGGGGTTAAGAATATGCATGTATCATACATACTGGGGGGGTACAACTGGGGGAATCAATGGTGGAGAAGGATCTGGGGGTTCTGGTAGATCACAAGCTTAATAATGGCATGCAATGCCACGCTGCGGCTTCTAAAGCGAGGAAAATCCTTTCTCGTATTAAAAGAGGTATAGACTTTAGAGAGAGATATCATATTACCCCTGTACAAATCATTAGTAATACCTCATCTGGAATATGCAGTTCAGTTTTGGGCACCAATTCACAAAAAGAACATTGGGGAACTTGAGAAAGTACAGAGAGGGGCAACTAAAACTGATACGAGGCATGGAGGAGCTCAGCTATGAGGAAAGATTAGAGGAACTAAATTTCTTCTTTCTTGAGAAGAGGAGATTAAGGGGGGATATGATCAACATGTATAAATACATCAGTGGTTCATATAGTGAACTCGATGTAGAGCTATTCACCCTGAGGTCATCACAGAGGACAAGGGGGCACTCTTTATGTCTGGAGGAAAATAAATTTAATCTCCAAACACGGAAAGGTTTCTTCACAGTGAGAGCTGTGACAATGTGGAATAGACTCCCTCAAGAGTTGGTTCTGGCCAGCTCAGTGGATTGCTTCAAAAAAGGCCTGGATTGTTTCTTAGGTACACACATTATAACTGGATACTAGCATTTATAGGTAAAGTTGATCCAGGGAATATCCGATTGCCTCTCAGGGGATGAGGAAGGCGCAAATTGGATCATGCTTTGCTGGGGTTTTTTTGCCTTCCTCTGGATCAACTGTGGGTATAGGATTATAACTTTTTTTTTTTTTTTTTTCTATGGTTGAACTGGATGGACTTTTGTCTTTTTTAGCCAGAATAACTATGTAACAGGGTTTTGAAAAAGAAAAAAAGAAAAAGAAAATGTTTCTTTTCTTTCTTAATTTCCAAAAACTTGTGGCAACAAATGAGATCTGCAAAATACTCATAATGCCCCTTAGCAAACACCTTGGAGTTTCTACTTTCCAAATAGGGATAATCTGTGGTGGGGTGTTTCTACTATCTTTGCATTTCAGGGCCAACATTAGAAGCTTATGCCACACATCACCCACCACTTGAAGAACAAGCCTTTTCTGGCACTTTTGTTTACATGAAAAATAATTTTTTTTTGCTAGAAAATAACTTTGAACCCAAAAACATTATATATTTTTTTTAAAGCAATGGCCCTAGAAAATAAAATTGTGGGTGTTGCAATTTTGTATGTCACACAGTATTTGCGCAGTGATTTTTCAAATGCTTTTCTGGAAAAAACTATACTTTTTTTTAATCTTAATGCACAAAAACACAATTTATTGCCAAATTGTTTGATAAAATATAAAATAAGATGTTACGCCAAATAAATGGATACCAAACATGACATGCTTTAAAACTGCACATACCCGTGCAGTGGCGACAAACTACATAACTTTTTAATATCGATAGGCAACGCTTTAAAAGCCTTTTGAAGGTCACCACTTAATATTTACACAAGAGGTCTAGTTCTAGAATTACTGTCCTCAATCTTACATTCACAGTGATACCTCACATGCATGGTGCAATCTCTGTAATTTTTTTTATTTTTACACTGTTGCTTTTCTTTTTCTGTTCTTTTTTTTAAATCACATTTATTGTTATCACAGGGAATGTAAATATCTGCTCTGATAGCAATAGGCAATGACAAGTACTCTTTTCTGAGAACTATTAAACTTTAGATCTCTCCATTGCCCTTAAGGCATCTGATCACATCAAGATCAATGTGATCAGATGCTTTCCCAATTTAAAAATGGTGCTGTTAATATCTGGCGAAATGGAAACTATGAAATGCTCATACAGTCAGGTCCATAAATATTGGGACATCGACACAATTCTAACATTTTTGGCTCTATACACCACCACAATGGATTTGAAATGAAATGACCAAGATGTGCTTTAACTGCAGACTGTCAGCTTTAATTTGAGGGTAATTACATCCAAATCAGGTGAACGGTGTAGGAATTACAACAGTTTACATATGTGCCTCCCACTTGTTAAGGGACCAAAAGTAATGCGACAGAATAATAACCATAAATCAAACTTTCACTTTTTAATACTTGGTTGCAAATCCTTTGCAGTCAATTACAGCCTGAAGTGTGG